AAAAGAAGGAAAATGAAATTAAGACGAATATGGAGTCACATGACAGTCATGTGATTGATTTGAGGTAGTGATGAATGGATGACAGAGGACAGGAATAGACCGTGAAACACAGAAGCGGGACAATTAAGTGTAAAACACAAAGGAAGAGCAATCAAGCGTGAACGGCGAAGGCTGGGTAATCAAGCGTGAATTTCCTGAGGTCGCTGTCTCCATTATACAGACGACCTTTGTTCTATTTTAGTTGTACAATGTAGGCGTTTGTACTCCATGCAATGAAGAGAAATGTATCTTTTATTTCTTTTTAAAGGTCAGCATTCGTCGATCATATTGAAGGATGACTTTTGAAGAATAAATTCACGATTAAGGTCGCTCAGTTAACTTTATCATGTGTATGGGAAGTCATTTATTCTACAATTAGCGTTCTCCTCACGATTGGTCAATTCGCGTTTTGTTTTGTTTTGTTTGGTTTTTTAATATTACCTTAAAAAAGAAATTTAAATGAAATCTCATGATTATGTTAGGACGTCCGTGTTTTATTTCTATAAAAAAAATAATAAAAAATTTCTTTTGTTAAAAAATGCCAAGCTGCTTTTTAATGAATATTTCATTGACTCCATCGTAAAGTTTTGAAACAAGATATTATTGCTTGCTACTTTCTCCTAGAGATTTTACAGTGGCAAAAGTGAAAAAAACATTTTTTTTAAATATACATAGTATCAACTTACGAAATCTACATTCGTTTGGAAAACATTGGATTGAAACAGCAGCAAATTCATTTTCAATCCACCTCATTTTTAAATGCGTATAATCCAAAAACCTATATTTATATCATATGGTTTGAAGTACACAGTAATTAGTTTCAGCTTATAATTTTTAACCCGAAATAGTATACAAGACAAAGATTATTTTTCAGGAGATATTTGATTTTAGAAGGGGGGGGGGTTAACCGATACCTAATAATATTAATTTTGATTAAATGAAGTAAAAATTGTAGAGTCAGGTCATGGCTTAACATGACAATATTTAATTTCTAGGATTATAAGAGTGCATGAGTTTTATAAATATTCTCACTGAAAACTGTTAGACAACTTTATTTAAAAATCGCCCCCCCAACCATCACCAACACAAAGATATACATGTACACTGATATATTTACCAAACAGAAATGAAATATTTCTCCCTTAAATATTTATTCATTTAAAACACTAGACAAAAAAAAATCAAACTGTACCAAAATTGAAATTATTTGTCTTCTGGGTCAATCAGTAATAATATGCCTTCTAGCGTAGCTGAGGTGGATTGAAAATGAATTTCGATCTGCAATTTCAATCCGATGTTTTCCAAACGTCCGCGTCGATTTGTACCCGCCAATTTCATTGTTTTGATTGTAACAGATAGAAATGACGTAAGCTGTATATTTCCAATTTTGCCAGTTAATGTTCTGCAGTCTTAAGTACAAGTGAAAAACATTTTTAAAAAAAATATACATATATCAAATTACGGAATCTACATTTGTCAATAATTGTATAAATGTAACCGGTTCTTGGTTTGATAAAACAACAAGATGGTTCTCTCGGAGTGGATCCAATTTATTTTGGTATAGGTTCGAATCAGATAAGATCAGATTAGATTCAACCCTACAATAACAGTAACATATAAGCACATACACACACAAAACAATACAAAGACAATACAAACAGACAATCACAACTTTAACACAATCATTTATAGTTCATTTACATTTATACCGTTTAAAATTATTAGGTCACACTTCACTCAGTTTAGCTATCTTTTTAAACCACTAAACTTTACTTCTAATTCATAGAAATAACTTATAAACAATATTTACATTAATCAATCTGATCAATACATACACCTTTGTAATTTACATCAACACATACCCATTTATGGAATAAGGTGAATTCCTAACTCGTAATAAACCAATCTGACTGCACTTCAAATATCTGACCTAATAAACAATACGCAAAAATTATAAACTCTCAAATCCATTATTTAGGATGCAAGAATAGATTAAAATAGTTAACTTGCTTATATAGTTCTTTACCAATCTTTATATACATTTTTTACACACACTCACACTTTATTTAGCAAGTTTAGATTAAAATCAATTATTTAGATATCTCATTCATAAAGAAATTATTTGGATACTTATTTAGTAGTTTAATTATTTATTAAATTACTTACAGGAATAAGGGTGGTGTCTCCAACACTGTGAAATAGGTATTATCACTATATACATGTATACACCCTTCAGAAACCAGTTTTCAGAATAAGGGAAATCATTATAGTAATTCCCGCCAATTCTACCTTAGAACCAATGAACCACACTGACCAATAGAAATCAATGTCCCACTACATAATGGAATTACCCATTCACAACATTACCTGGTAGTCTACCTGGAATACAACACTTAACTAAAATAGGGTTGTTCAGTTTTATAACAGACACTGAACAAGACAACATAGAGTGTTTGAAAATCGCATTGCGCAGCGCTGAATGAATGAGTGAATGAATGAATGAATAAAATAAAGAATGAGAATAATGTGAACAATTTAAAATGCATATCCTAAAAATATAAAAAGTACAACTACCACATAAACAGCAGCACATGTACTCTTACTCATTTTTAAATGCGAATAAAAACCAATTATATCGATAGTATTGACCAGTTTAAGCCTTAGCCATTTATTGAACAATATTTTTAACGACAGGATTTGTTTTTGTCTAAAAGATAGCTATAGTCACAGGCATCTGACATTTCTTTATTTCTCTTAATTAAAAAAAAATATATACCCATACCTAATAATATTAATTTTGATTAAATGAAGTAAGTAACGCCAGATGCCTGTGGCAATAGTAGAGATCAGCCCCATCTACAGTTGATAAGGGATATCAATTGGTTTAATAACAAGAGAGAAAGCTATAACGATAGTTAATTTATCTGAAATCATCACATTTTTCTTAAAATTCAGTTGTTTGATTACCAACAGAGGTCGTATGTTTTTTCTAGTTAAACTGGAAGCAGATTTATAATGGACTTAAATTCTACCAAAAAAGCAGAGGTGGGATCAGACCTTTGAATAATTATATCTCGACCCTTCCCTTTGGATACAAGATCCAGTAGAAGAGGCGGATCCAGAAATTTTGAATAGAAGGGGGGGGGGGCAGTTTGAGGTCAGGGTAGAGGCCCACAGTCACACAAAAAAAACCCATAGATTTATCAAATATTGTGTATTTTTTGGACTCAAAGGGGAAAAACGGGCCCCCATTCTCCCTCTCTATCCCGCAGTGCTGCTAAAGGGCCGCATTTTGCACCTATGAGAATTCTTATGGACTGTGGGACTGTATTAAAAAATACATAGCTATTCTCGATTTGAAATTCAAGATTTCTTTTTCATATCGAATTCGGATAGTATATGGGAATAAAATACTTGACTGTTATGAAGACATCTCTTAAATGATGTTAAATAAATTCATCAGGACATTTTAAAATATTAAAAATGCAAGAAATGATTAAAAGATGTAGGTTTTTAATACATCATTTTTATATCTAGGGATATACATAATATACTTGCATAAAGATACATGAAAACTTCGATTAATGTTAACAAAATATATATAATTCTTGGTTAGGAAAAATTGACGCACTACCCTAATCTACATATGTAGAATAACATTACAAAATACCTAAATCAACACATGAATGTTTAAAAGAATGATATAATTCCAGTTGTAACACTACATTTGATTGGTTAATCGGTTTCATCAATTTTGTATAACATAACTTGCCTACGTTACAATGTAAAATCAAAAACGAATTACTTTGTTTGACGTTAACTTTAAAAATATGCCATATTTGAAGCCTTCTTTTTCCGAAGGAAAAAAGGGAAAATTTTTCTCATAGTCTACATTGAAATTAAATTATAAGGAATGAAACTTATTTAAACTTATGCTTCGCGGTTTATAAAGCGTAAACTGCCCAAAGTTATGCTATATCGTATAACAAAAGTTAAATATGCTTCGTTCCTTAAATAATACATGTAGCTACTCAACAATACTTCATATACGTTACATCAAATGAAAAGATGCACATTTTTTCTTTTATAAACCTAAGAAATATAAAAGCGCAAGCCTTAACCTTTTTTTTTCAAGTTCACAGTCAGGCTATATGTATATTTCTTGTAATCACCGTTTATTATGCTATTTCAAAATTAAGCACCGCGACTGTTAAATCACAAGAACGACAACTCTTCCTAGCATGCAGATGTGATTTAATTTTCTTTTCAAAAATATTAATACTTTTAAAGATATACACCATTGATTAATTATATTTGTTTACTATTTAAAGATAACAAATTCATCCGTCTGGAATTTCAGAATCTCTATCTTCGCACACAAATGGAAGATAAAGTCCCTTTTTATCCGTAAAATATGAATGATTCCTTTCCGGAATCCACCTCCATCGTTTTTGTTTTACGTCATACGATAGAAGAAGTCCGAATTTCCTATCTACAACATTATAGGTAAGGTCTTCTATCCAATTGTCATACGTCACAATGGTGCCGTCATCAAAGGCCAGCACGTCGCCATATTTATCTAAAATATGGAGGATGTTGACTCGAAATACCACTGTGCCGTTTAAGTCGTGTTCTGCAAAAAAGGTCGTGATCTTAACAATAGAAAATACTCAACGATACCCTTTTGTGTTAGGTAATGTAGCGTTTGATCAGAAGACATATACATGTACATGTATTGATTTTAAAAGCATAGACAAATACATCAATTCAAGTTACACATACAATCAAATGATTTTTATGATGCATGATTTGCATACAGAGATACAGATTAAGTATCCTATTTAGATTAGAAAGTCCTTGAACATCTTTATAAGAACTGCCTGCTTTTGTGTCCAGGCCATCTGAAGCTAAACTTAATTTCAGTAACTGAATCGGGATCGGCATCCTTGTTTCTTTCTTAACTTACCCGGATGTATTCTGCTGACGTTAAGATGGAGGCCATAACTGTCTCCATACCACACCATCAGCTCAGAGCCCGGATGTACTTCCTTTATTGTCATGTAGAAAATCAGACCAGCGCAAGGTACCGCCTGAGCATTCTCTTCTTTGTAATTACGAGGAGAATTCACATATCGCAACCAATTACTGCTGTCAAGTGGCATGGCATCTATGACATAGGTCCCGTTGCCTTGTAATTTTTCAACCTTAAAAATCCAAGAGAGTGTTATGAAGATTGTGCAATACGTAAAGAAACAAAAGCTGAAGCAAGCTAAAGAAACATTCAACATGACGAATAAGGATTAATGAAATGGTTTGCACTATCTTAATCAAAGGCTCTAATCAATAGCTTCTCTCTTACTATTAAAAACCTAGTGTGAGAGTGTCTTTGTTCAAAATGAGTACCCCTAGATACATCGCCTGCGTGGCGCAGTGGTAAAGTTTCTGTTCTATATCTAGAGGATTTAGGAGTTGATCTTTACCTCGTGGGTTCGAATCCCACTGTGAGACACCGAGACCGCTCGTTTAGATGTATTAATCGAAGTCCCGTGTCGCAGTAAATGCTGACACGAAAAACATCCTTTACTGCTCAACTGCACTGAGTGCCGAGCAAAGGTCAAATTTGCTGCCTCTCCACCAGCAAGTGGGCCATCTCAATATAAGTAAGGACATTAAACAATAGGCAAACAAATAAACAACTAGATGTGTAGGAATACCTACCACCCAGGAGTACGGATCCTTGTCACTGACGTCTGTCCTCACAAGTCCTTCATAAGACCCCAGAATCGTGTACTTAGACAGCGGGATGTGTGTCCACGCCCCCCATACCGGCCCCAGGGATAGAGGAGAGGGCGACCTGGAATCCATCAGGGGTCGTCAAATTGGCTCGGTCCTCGGGTCGTGACCCTAAAGGAATCTAGAGGATACACATCACATGGATACAGAGATTTTCTAGGTTTTAAATATCTTGTATGAAAGATGCATGTGTAGTGTTATGTTTGTAAAGTGAAGTACTCAGTGAAATAAATGCATGAAAGAATGGAATACTCTGATTTTTTTTTCTCTGTTTTAAATATCTTTATGAAATAGTCATGTATAGTGTTATGTTTGTAAGGTGAAGTACTTTGTGGTTCTGTCAAATAAATGCTTGAAAGAATAGCAAATTTTATTTACTTTACTAGTGGGTATTAAAGTAGAGTTTCTCACAAGTAATAACAGAAACTTCGGGGTGTCAGGCATCTATAATTTATCAAAGGACACCGACAAGGTAGGGGATGCTCACGTCTTCATATCACGTGTGTTTTATATCATTTCTTTAGATCATATCGTTTAAAATAAGTTTCTTTCCTGCTAAAAACGAGACTCTTAAATTTTACCCGCTTTTTATCTTACCTTATTGTTAATGAAGTGCTGATATGTTTTGCTCTCCCTGCCATACATCATATAATCGTCACAAACTAGAAAAACAAAAACCTCGAAAATTCATTTCATTCAGGTAGTCGTATTGCTTTCATTAGATCTAAATAAAAGATGTGACAATTTTCTATTGATCTTCTTATAAATAAGCTATAACTTCTTAAAATCACCCACTTTTAATCAGTTTGGCCTTCCATTCTAAATATGTAAATTTCAAATTGTGTCTTTTTCTTTAAATTGAATCTAATTGACTTTAAAAACATCTCTCGTTTTCAATGATATAACGATAACAATGCAGGCACGTAGCATCGTTTTTGAAAGTGGGGGGGGGGGGGGTCAGCATGAATTTTTTTTACTCACCTGAAAAAGTTGACAAGCAAAAATAAAAAAAAAAATCATAAGAAGTTAAGTTGCCCAAACTCGAAAATCCTATTTAGGGGGGGGGGGGGGGGGGGGGGGGGGTAGAGGCCAACTTTTTCAAACCCAGCTTACTATCACTTCCAATTTTTCACTTACAATCCTTGCTATCACTATACTATGGTTATAAAGTAGGGGGGCCAACCATCCTATCAATAAACATTAACTATAGTAAAGGTTATGTTGGGAGAAAAAAGTGTGGGGGGGGGGGGCAGGCCCCCCCTGGCCCCCCGGATACTACGTCCCTGCAATGGTATTCTATAAATGTATATGATATGTTGTTTAGAAGTCGATGTTTGCTCTGCTCCTATTTTTTGTTTGATGGACGTTTAAGCCGGAAATATGTCCCTTATCTCCACATCTCCACATATTTCAGACAAAAGATTTCGACCCGCGTGGTTCATTGGTGGATCTTCGTTTGCTCTAGATAAATTGAAAAAATGAATTATTTGGCGCTTTTCCAACATTTTCCTATAGGGTTCACTAGTAACAATTGACACTTGAGATGACCCCAAAAGAAATCGGGACGGTAAGCATTTGATTTTTTTAGTCTTAAAACAATAACAGAAAAACAATTTCGAAATCCCTCAGACAGAAATACAGTAATTAGACTCGGTCTCATTAAAATATGAAATGTTTGGCATTTGTAAAATGTAACGTGAAAAAGTCTAAACAATGCATTTTTCATGCTGCTGTACATACTTTTTCATTAGGAATGTGTTTATATTTATATTTTTGTACACCGTGATTAATGAAATCTGCACAATCTGGAAAGACAGAAAATGAATTTAGAATATAGTCCTTACTTTGCAAGCATAGTATTTTCACCTGAGATAAAATGAGATTATATGAGAAATAAGCTTTAAATCTGAAATACGAGTAGTTATATGAAAATATACTTTATATTTTATAAATGTAAAATGTTTGATCAGATCTCCTTAATATCAGGAAATTAATATTTACTACCATCAATCATTCAAAAAGTTTACACTTTCCAAAAACTTCACACTCAAGTTCACACCAGTTCCCAAGAAAAAGAAATTAGTAGGTTAAAAAAAAATTGTCGTATGACAAAAATGAAACTTTGAGGAGTAGGCTTCTCGATTCATTGCAAGAATGGGTTTTCCCTAGTATTTCATCTATATGTGTCTCTATGTAAACTTTACTTATTTGTCATTTTCGGATGAAAATCTATTTTTTATTAAATTATTCATAGATTGAAAAAAAAAAATTACTTGATTCAAGAAAAGAAAACAAACAAACATTTATTAATGTAAGAGTTATCTCTCCTATCACAGGGTTATTGAACCTTAATCCTTACAGGTTTTCTTCTCAGCCTCAATATCCCATTCCTTCTGAGCAATCTGATAGAGTTCCTGTTAATGTAATAGAGTTCTTGTTCATGCAGTAGAGTTCTTGTTCATGCAGTAGAGATCTTGTTCGAGTAATAGAGTTACTGTTTATATTATAGAGTCCCTGTTAAGATAATGGAGTTCCTGTTCATTTGATAGAGTTCATGTTAATTTTGTAGAATTTCTGTTAATGAAATAGAGTTAATGTTAAAGTTATAATGTTCCTGTTAAGGTAATGAAGTTCCTGATAATGTAATGGAGTTTCCGTTCATGTGATAGAGTTTTTTTTGTAAATGTAATAGAGTTACTGTTGTAACTACTATTAGTTGCAATAGAGCTATTAATATAATAAGGTTTCTATTACTGTAATAAAGCCCTGGTTAATGTAATCGAGTCCTTTTTAATGTGATTGAGTTCCGGTTCATGCAATAGAGTTTCAGTTAGGGTAATAGAGTTTCTGTTAATGTGATTTAGTTCCTGTTTATATAATACAGTTCATATTAATGTGATAGAGTTCCTGTTTATGTAATACAGTTCATGTTAATGTGATAGAGTTCCTGTTAATGTCAGAAGTTCCATTTAATGTAGTAGAGTTCCTGTAAATGTTGCAAGGCCCTTGTTAATGTAATAAAGTTCCTGTTAATAATATATAGTTCCTGTTAATTTAATGAGTTTCTGTTAATGTAATAGAGTTTCTGTTAATGTAATGATTTCGTGTTAATAAAATAGCGTTCCTGATAATATTAAAGAATTCCTGTTTTTGTAAAACAGTTCCCGTTAATGTAATAGACTTACTGTTAATGTGATGGAGTTTCTGTTTATGTGAGATCCTGATATAGGTTATGTCTGTCGGAAAGTTGTAGAAGAGATTCATGCAGATTTCGAATTACGTTCATTTTTTTTAAATCAGAGAGCTACAGTTCCGCAGCTAGCATATTCAGAACAAAAGCAGTTCCCAGGATTTAATGGTAAACACATTTTCCAAGTCATATGTCCCTCTTTCTCTCTCCCCTACCTCCCTTTCTCTCATACTTACATTTCTTTCTTGATATATGTTATAAAGATTCATCTCTGAAACAAAAAAATACTATTTTATTTCCAGTATACACTTGGCTATAACTAGTTTCTGAGCAATTTTCCTCTTATCTATTTTCAAATTCGTATGAATTTCTTCTTTTTTTGGGGGGGGATGGGGGTTGGATGGGGGGTGTGTTTGGGGGTGGGGTGGTTGGTTCAATTTAAAATCACATATTCGAGTGTTTAACTTGAGATTTAGTGTATATTTAGGGTATTTAGATATTCAATGTCAAATTACGAATCATTAATATTTAGATTATAGAAATCTATCAACACTTATATAGGTATAATTTACATAATGGTTGATATGACCTTAGATTAACAGCGCAATTTCATACATAGATCCTTCCCTGTTCTCTTACTATCAATATATTTGATGAGTACTTTTTATTTCTCCTCCGAGTCTAGGTCGACCACGTGAACCCCCAGCTGGTGACATAATTCACCGGAATTCAACAAGGACGTCTGTTTTTTGTGGAAAGAGAAACACCAACCACTCACATTGACAAATCCCGGGGAGCATCTCAAAACCTCTGATCCGGAAATCCCAGAGGACCATTTCAAAGGTTCCGAATTAATGGCGATCAAAACTGTCAAATAATATAAATAATAGAAGGATATATTCGTCATCTAACAGATTATGCTTAAATCTTTAAGATGTTCCAACACTTACAATTTCATGTTATCAAATTATATAAAGTTTCATGTACTTCAATTCACATCAACAAGTCATTGTAAATATGCTAAAATGTCAATGATAGCATTTGAGGAGTGAAGTTTCTTTTATATAATGCACTACATGTATTACGTAAATATACCTTACGGCTTAAAAAAATGTTATATAGTAAAACATGGGTTAAAATAAGATTCATTCCATATATTTTTATTTCTTTGTAGACAATAAGACAATTTTTCTTTAACCAAAAATG